ACTGACAGAAATTAATAAGCGACATGGAATGCAAATTTAAGTGATTCATCTTTTTCAGTAAATATCTGCAACTATTTGAAAGTCTATTTTATTTTCTAGTGTATTACAATGTCAAGTACAATTACAATAATCAAGTCAAGGAAGGTGAGGTGGGCAGGGAATGTAGCACGAATGGGGGAGAAGAGGAATGCATATAGGATATTGATGAGAAAGCCAGAAGGAAAGAGACTACTGGGAAGACCAAGTTCGCGTAGGTGGGTGAACAATATTAAAATGGAGCTTAGAGAGATAGAATGGGGTGGTATGGATTGGATTGATCTGGCTCAGGATATGGACCAGTGGAGGGCTCTTGTGAACACGGTAATGAACCTTCGGGTTCCATAAAATGCTGGGAAATTCTTGAGTAGCTGCAGAATTTGCTTCTCCTCAAGAAGGGCTCAGCTCCGTGAGTGATTGCATATAAGGGTTAGAATTGCATCCAGATGTTCTTCCGTAATTCCATACATCGCTCTAGCAGCCGTGGCAACCGAATTTATTGCAAAGTGGTCTTTGTAGTAAATTCGGATATTCTGTATTAGGTCCTAGATGGGAAATAGGTAAGACAACAAACAGAAACCTTAGGCTTGCACTTTAATATAGACCTGTATTAGAATTTCCGCCTTGAAGTTACATTCCAGGACTTCCAGAATTGACACCAGGTGCAGCACCAGTATGTTCATGCTATATACATCACATAGAGAAATTCACTTCAAGTTGAAATACTCCCACGACTTTATAGCTTAAGTTGGCTCCATGTTTTAATTGCTATGAATTAATGCGGTCAATTAATTATGTCGCTATCTTCTGAGTGCGTGACGAACCACTCCAGTATTTTTCTTCGCCTCTTCCAACCAACTCCCATAGACACTGTCAGTCAATTGTAGGATACGCCGTGTTAGCTATAATTTATTCTTAAAAACTCATCTACCAAACGTCGAGACACTCATTTACCATGACATGACTTCTCTGTGCAGAGCATCGGAACATTCATCAGCTTAACTCACTGCGTGCAGCATATGATGGCCAAATAAATGAATTCGGAAACTAGTTATCTTCTCGCTTAATGTTAAGCGACACCGCATCTGGGGTCTAGTGGTCAGATGGCTACAGATCCAGTGGTCCCGGGTTCGATTCCCGGCGGTACCAGATTTTCTGAGAAGCAGTAGGTCTGGAACGGGGTCCACTCAGCCTCATGAGGATAATTGAGGAGCTATTTCAAGGAAATATCGGCTCCGGTCTAGAAAACCGAGATTAACATCCGTGGGGATTCGTTGCGCTGACCACGCGACACCCTCTACCCGCTAAAGTTGGAAAATTTGGCTGCAGATTTGGCTTGTCCTCAAGAAGGGCTCAGGTCCATAAGTAAGTACCGCCAATATTACATCAAATGCAAACAGGACACATACACAGAAATGTAAACTTTATTCAGTAATGCTTTGTGTAGCGCTTGTCATGCAGAGCAGTAGCTGGGGTTGTGTTCAGCAGGTAGCTTGCAGCTTCCTCCACTTCTGCACTAATAACAAAAACAAAAACAAACTCCGTGGTTTTAGTCCGCAAGCGAACTATACCGACCGAGCCACCGCCGCGTGTCGGCTAAGTTAGTGCCAACTTTAGTGGATAGGGGGTGTCGCGTGGTCAGCGCAACGAATCCCCACGGCCGTTAATTTCGCTTTTCTAGACCAGAGCCGCTATTTCCTTGAAATAGCTCCTCAATTATCATCACTAGACTGTGTGGAACCCGTTCCAGACCCACTACTTCTCAGAAAATCTGGTAGTACCGGAAATCGAACCCAGACCTCTGGATCTGTAGCCAGGAACTCTGACCACTAGACCACAGAGGAGGTCCTGCACTAATAACACCTCATATTTTCTTGACCTCGGCACTAGCTGGAGGTGAGTGGTCAGCTTCACGACCCGGCCACCTTACCCCCGGGGAAAGAGCCCCCAGTAGCAATTGGACCCCAGAGCCGGTCTGAACAATTTGGAGAAGAAAAAATTCTTGATACTACCGGGACTCGAACTCCGACCCCTCAGTCAGCCAGCCAGTAGCCAGTCGCTATACTGACTGAGCTATCCCGGCTCCCTACAGAAAATAAACAGACAGTATCGTGTCAGCATCTGCTTTATTTTGCTGTGATATCTTCACTACATGTTTCGACATTTACCTGGGTCATCTTCAGGTGTACATGAATACTTTGTGTCAGATTTCTGAAGGTAAGGGTCGACACGTGTAGCGAAGATATCAGCAGCAAAATAAAACAGATGTTGACACAATAATGTCTATCTTGTTTATTTTCTGAACATACTATTGTGTAGACTGCCTCAAATCATATTCTTTTAGTGAATTATACACAAGAGGATCCATACCATAAAGATTCATGTACTATTAGGTTTAAAATTGTATTTTGTGGGAATGTTAGTGTATGAGGAGGGTACTTGTAGTTAGAATTCTGTGCACGCTCTTCGCTGTTGTCATTTCACGGTTACAGGTTCACTGTTTAGCTTGGTAATATTCTAACACGCGTCCACAGGAAACCACAACTGAGGTAGGGTTAAAATTATAATTAATACAATGAAATCAGGCTCTTTTATTGGAAAAGTGGTTTCAGTTTTCTGTTGTTTTAACAGAGCCAGAGAGAAACGGGTTGGTCCACCAGTGCTGTAATCAAAATGTTGTTTCTCGCTTCTACCACAGAATGTAAATATGCTACGCGTCTGCTTCTCCTATTCAAATACACTTTCATATATATATATTCTGTTGGCAGGTAAAACGAAATGGCAGGATACATAGGTTCTGAAAATGAAATCTCCACACTTTTACTTGTAATAAATTCTCATGAATTCATTTCCGACAAAGTTTAGGTAAATGCTGTAGCTAAAACAGGGAATTATACAGCACCTAAAAATGTTTTTCCTTGTGTGCTTTGTTAACTATTCATTACTACATGATACACACAGATATTGAACTCAATGACGTTCTATATTTAATTTTAATTTAAGAAGATATGCCTATATTAAGAAGTTACGAGTGTATCAATAGTATAATTATGTTAAATTCACTCCCGTTTGCTTAATTATATAAAAAAATTGCAAGACANTGCAGATTTCTTATACTTTTTCTTCTACCCTGAAGATGGAGGCGATACGTTCCTCCGAAACGTCGGTTAACACCACATATACACGGTGCCAAATCCCAGAAGACTGCTTTCTTCATTCGTTACGTTGACCCATTTTGACCTAAACTTGAATGGACGGACAAATTGTATTATAACTCCCTGAACCGGTTGGGGGTTTCCCGGGATGCTACATTCTAATGTTCCGATAGGCCGACAGAGCGAAGCTAATGGACGCAAGTTTGCAACTTCTCGTTTAGAATGCATCTCAAAACAGAAGCAGTGAAATGTATGTTCACTTACTCAACAGCCACTTTATCCTAATGTGCACAATTTCCTTAGTTCGCTGTAGCTCAGTTAGTGAAGTGACTGGCTGCTTTGTCGGTGTCTAGGACTCTATTCTCAAAGAAAGAATTCAGCTCTTCAACGCTTCGCCATTGAGCAATTTAGCTCGATTTGTCTGCTTAAAATTCCGAAATAATATCATTAAAATTTCTTAAAATAAATGCCATATAATTTATCACTCCTATTGTCACCTGTCACAGTGACTAAGATGCGGGGTTTGTAGTTGGATTTACTTGATACTTACAGGAAGTAATTACACATAATTATAACACTCTTGCTGATTTACACAATTTCCCATCACTCCACAATATTCTCTTCAGTCTATCTGCATTAGTCCTCACTAACCTTTTCCTGGAAACGGATTTATAACACAGGAGCTATAAAAGTCTCACATAAAGACTTCAAATCACACGTTAAATCTTCACAGGCTGACTTCTTGTACTCTTCTTCAACTACGAACTTCCCGTGGCTATCTCCTACCGAGAACTGACTCGTCTCTGAACTGAACGAATTCTGTCACTTATATAGCCGAGGAACGGTCACGCATCACAGGAGCACATGTCACGTGATCACCACACGCCGCTGCGTGACGTCACCGCGGACACGAGAAAAACAGCCTCCTCTATTTTTGCGTGTTGGACCGTGTTTACAGAGGTGTTGCCTGGCAACGCGTTCATCAAATCCGTAACAGTACTGTACTCTCTTCGAAATATCTGCGAACGGCCGGCATGCGAACAAATCGTTGGCGAAAGACGATAGCGTGTTCTCTCCTTTCTGGCTTATAGCGGGGAAATTACTCTTCGCTCGGTACACACGGTGCCGCTTTTCATACAGCAGTGGTACATACCGCGAGAATAACCATTTTTACGGAAAATATTTCCTGTCGTAACTTGTGCTTTAACTCATATTACTAATTCATGTTCCTTTACTTAATATGACATGTAGACCCACTGCTAGGCAACGACTCAGTAAACACATTTCCAATCGGATGACTTCCGTTTCTATGCAACGGCGCTGTAAATACAACAATATAGGAAACGGTGATTTCTATGGATCTTATATATATATAAGTAGTACAGAACAGAATCGATTCAGAAGGAGAATGGAGCGAGTCCTCGGCAGTCCAGGAAGAAGGCTTCGGCTGAAATTGTGAGTTCTTATAATTGAGCGTGCTTCCGAGTGAAGATTCTAATAAATCCAATCATCCAATCCAAAACCCATTATTATTATTCACGGAGGCACGTGACAATATATATACGAAATCCACAGGTATTCCTAGTGGAGCATATTAAGCAGCACCTTTTCTTAATGAAGGAGATATATTTCGAAGTGAATCGGGCAACGTTTAAATATCAAAATGTACGACATCCTTGAAACCTACAAACGCCTTTCAGCCGTCAAAGATTGTCTGTCGGACAAACAGTGAAAGTTTTATACCAATACAATTTGTGCTCTAAATATGTCGCTGACACATTTCTTAAATGTCACTTTTTCTTTTCTCAGTTTTAAACTGGAACATCAACATGTCTCGCATACGTGTCGCTGTGATTGGCGCTGGCCCTGCAGGTCTCTGCGCAGCTCGCCATCTTGTTGATGACAGCCACCATTTTGAATTCAAAGTTTTCGAACAGTGGGGAGAAGTTGGTGGAACATGGTGCTACACTGACTTAACGGACATCGATGAATATGGAGTTCCCATACATTCCAGCATGTACAAAAGTTTAAAGTGAGTACCGCGTTCTTATTGAAAGTGTAGAGATTCTTCTTAATCCATTAGCACACCATTTTGTTTTGTCTGCTCAAAATATCTGTACAAATAATTCTACAGTTAGTTTCCCAATAGGTGAATTGTTCCAGATTACATATGAATAAAACACCTACCTTCGCCGGAATTGAAAGACGAGGCAGAGCTGCAAAATTATGCCAATAGTTCCTCCATAGTATTATGGAGGGTGGTAATTAACAGAGGCTGGCTCCTACACGGTTTAGTAGCCATGTTTAGAGTGATTATTGTGAGTCTGTGATTATTTTAAAACGTTTTCAATGAATGTGCATTACAGTATAAAGTTAATTTATTGCATATCAAGAAGTTTTGTAGTATTTTGAACCTGAAATCAATCTGGGACCTGTGTCTTCACCGTAGAAAAACTTTTCACACAGGCATATAGGACATACCCTCGTGTTTGCATATCGAATGTTAAAATATACAATGCGTTCAACGATCGGGGAAACCTGGAAACAGGGCTGAGCGGGAATAACATTTCTCACAGAGTGCTGCTGTAACTGCCGATTGAAAAATGAGTCATTATCGCTGATAAACGCGCGCGGTCAGTAGGTCTGGTTTTGTCACTGCAGCAAGTCGTAGTTTTAGTCAGTCTGTGTTAGAGGTGCCGATAGGCTGTCGACGTTTATACTGAAATGAATTTCACTATTTAAGAGCGTGTGTTTGTTGTCGAAACTTTTACAAGGAAAAAACATACAAACACAACATACAGTCAAAGTATAATTAAAGGTAAATATTTGAGGACAACAAATTAATGCATTTAATTAAACAAACAAAAAATAAAATCATTATCACAAATCTAAGTGTCTCTTAATGATAATAATAATAATTCATTTTAATTCTAGTTTATGTACGTGCAAATAATAGTAGTAACAATTATACCATTATAAGAGACGATTAAGGAGAACTTTCCTGGCTCCGAATACGTCACATCCCTGCAAACATTAGCAACTGCTGCACATCCAGCAGAGGGACAGTTTGTACATGAGGAGCAGACATTGAACAGAGAAAAGTCACTGATACACCGAGCGGGAACTTGGAGACCAACAATTTCCAGAACAGGAGGACAGAATTTGAAATCAAAGTGGACTTGAGTATGAAAGAGAGCATCGAGGCGATGCCTAATAATAATAATAATAATATTACTCCAGATTGTAAAATCAAACAACCTCAAGCCCCGTACACTGGCATGGGTTCATAAAAATCTTCTGGAGCAACCAGGGAGTCGGGCCGCGCCATAACTCAAGCGGTTATTCGCTGGCTTTCCACCGCGGCGGCCCGGGTTCGATCCCGGGTCTGGTCAAGTGGGATTTGTGGTGGACAAAGTGTCGCTGGGGCGGGTTTTCTCCGAGTAATTCGGTTTCCCCTGCCAATCTTCATTCCAACAAGTTCTCCACGATCATAATGACACGGGGCAGGCTACAATAGGCCAATCAGCGGCCGTGTGAGTGGATCCAGTTGGACTCCACCCCCCACTAAGCGAATTAAAAAGAAAACAGGGAGTCGAATGCGTTATCCTGATATTATTTCGGGCTGTTCAAGATTCTCATGAGAGTCTAACCTTGAGTGAGTTTCGTGGTATGAAGAAAAGCAGGAATTAGAAATGTTCTTTAGACCCTTAATTGGAATTGAGAGAGCATTGTTCGTTAACTTTTCCATCTTTTCTATTCAAATTCACGATTCTTTGTTGGAAGCTGTTCCTGTGCACCGTTTTGGTTTTGTTCACCAGGAACTTCGAAAGGAGATTATTGTCCAGTGGAAAAGTACACCATAAATCGTCTTGTACTCTTATCAGTGCAAGGCCACTAAACACTACGTAATTAACATGCTGACACTTAAATTTATATCAGGCTTAGCAATACATAGCATGCCGACCAGAGTGGCCGCGCGATCTAAGTCATGAACTGTCTTCGCTCGCTAGAACACTGGGATCATGGGTTCGAATTCCACTCAAGCATGGATGTCTGTGTGCGTTTATTCTGTTTGTGTTGTTCGTTGTGTAGGTAGTGGCCTTGCGACGGGCTGATCCCCCGTCCAAGGAGTCCTATCGATTGTATATAGGATTAAGAAACTGAAAAAGTGGTCAAGATCCAAGAAAGGGCTGTAGATAGATAGATAGTAGATAGTAATACAGAGAATGCTCATGTCTCTTTATATATTCACGTACTGTTCCTATTTTCAGAACCAATATTCCTAAGGAAATAATGCCATTTCCTGACTTTCCATTTCACGAAACGGAAGAGTCTTTCGTCCACCACACCGCCGTCCTCAGATATCTTAAGGAGTACGCTCAACACTACGGCCTGTATGAACATATCAGGGTACGTTCCATTTCAATATTCATTTCATCAGTCAAGCCCTTTGTCTGGGAACCCACCTCACTGAATCATATACGCAAATTCACTAACACAAAAGTGAAATATGTCCCTGTTTCGTTTTCTGTGGTAATGGGTGAAGATGTCCCTGTGCTTAATTAATTAAGCACAGGGACATGAAGACTTATTAGAGAGTGGAGCAATAAGTCCAGTATTCTTGATTTCGGCGCAAGATGAAAGTGAATAGTCAGCTTCACGCTCCCGCCGCTTTACATCCGAACAAAGCGGTTCCGGTACCCGCTGAATAGGAGGCTTGTGGGCCCCAGACCCGGTCTGGAGGCTGTGAAGTAGACTAAAGTACGCAATTACCTAACTTCATTTTTAACTATTATGTAGGTACATAACCCCCACCCCCGGAACACGAAGGTGATCAATGGATACATGTAAATTTACCTCCACGGTCTGTGTTCAACACGGGAATGTTCAATCAGTTCAGTTGTAGCTTCCGAAATAGAATGTTACTGTATCTAGTTTCAAGTACGTTAGCAGAATATTTTCATTTTTATTAAGATGTAATAATATAAATGAATTTCTGTCTCTGTATCTGAATAAAGCACGTGATTGAGAATCATGTTACATTGGATCTTCTCACGGTGATGAGTGTTAGCATTATGTCTTGTGTCGCGTAACGCTGATGCAGAGACACCTACATTCGGAGGAACACTGTACTATAATTTCGGCCCTGAAGTTGGAGGCAGCACGTTCCTTCGAAACATCGGTTCACATCTACGATACCATATGTCATCATGTCCAAAATACTGTCGCGTGTTTGCTAAGTAACGCGACAAGAAAATTTACATGGGTCTGGGATTTGAAAGGATATTTATTGGCAATCGCTCTTTACACTCACAAATACAACTATTCACACTTATAACATCTTCAGAAGTGTCTTCTTCAGTGTTACACACTCTCGCACCGCTAATCTCGGTGAAGTGTCTTCTGCTCTGCTCGGAGCTCAACTGTCCTTAGCGCTTGTCGATTACGAACTGTTATGTCCTGCACTCGGACTGAATAGGGAACACATTGTCGAAGGGTTAATTTCGCCCGCTGCTATGCAACGAATCACTTGTTGCCACGGGAATACGTGTCTGCCTCAAACAATTCGTTTGTAACGGTGGAAAACCCAACTGTTAAGACTTTCATTTTCGGGCAACGATTTCCTAGGCTAGCCGTTTACTAGTGATGGACGTCTTATGGTCCGTTTTTCAGGCAGCGCGTCACAATGCCTTAATCTTAAATTGGAATCAATTAAATTTCCTTCTACTCGTCATTCATCTTTATAATTGTCTCTTCTTTTAATTTTGTGACCCGTACCGAACACACGTTTTGTGTGGCGTCGACAGGGAACCGAGTGTCGTTATGTTCGCCGAGTGAGTAACTGAAGTTTTTATGCGAAGATTTCAGCCTTCACAAGATATCCACAAGAGTTCTTTTTTTTTCTTTCGTCCAGAGGAACACAAGTTAAAGGCATTCGAGCTAGCTCTTGGATTCTTCAACTACCCTAAGTTGGGGTTGGTATGTCGCTGCGAAACTTTAGCACACACACACCACGCTGCAATATGAATTTCCATCTCAAATTTTACAATCGGATTCCTGTTATTAAAATTCACCTCTCTTCTTTCTGCGTGCTTTGGTACAGTTCAACATGTACGGGGCTGTTACTTGATAGTCACTGACAGAGTTTTCTTTAATCTAAACGTCGAGATGCTCAACTTTGTGTAAATAACACCAAAACTTGTGCGAAAACACTAGAAGCTCTTAATTATATGGGCCATCTGCAGGAATTAATTGAAGCTGTGAGAAACTTACGCGTGCTTGACGAAGGTTGCGGAAAATTTAATCACATTCTTCAAGCATTGTAAAGTTGATATTCCATTACCTAATGAATATTTCTTTTAGAATACAAGCAGTGTCAGCTGGGACAGGTTTTCTCCGAGTACTTCGGTTTCCCCTGCCAATCTTCATTCCACCATATTCTCCATCATCATACTCATCCGGGGGCAGGTACAATAGGCTAATCAGTGGCCGCCGTGCCGAGTGGACACAGCTGGACTTTACTCCCCCCCCTCCACTATGCGAATTTTAAAAAAGTACTGTATACAGAATGTGACAAAGGAACCAGACGATTTTTAAAATGCTTTATGTTGGCAGCCCCTGAGGTTGCCATGGCGGGAACCATGCCATTTGCTAGCTTAACTGATGCCTTTGTTTTCACCATGGAGCAGTGGAGCGCTCAACAGTGACTCTGCTGTTAAAATGCAGCTAATATTTCGCGAGAATTTCAATATGGCTCTTCATGGAAAACTTCCTTGCCGCAGTACGGCACGGTTATGGGTAGAACACTGCAGAACGAGTGCTTCCGCACCGGGCTGTGTGCGTACAGTGAGATCGCCACAGAATATTGAGGCTGTGAGGCAGTCTCAGGCGCTCAGCCAGGAGATATTGCTCTAGGAATATCGAATCGCCACAGAATATTGAGGCTGTGAGGCAGTCCCAGGCGCTCAGAAGGAGATATTGCTCTAGGAATATCCGATCGCCACAGAATATTGAGGCGGTGAGGCAGTCCCAGGCGCTCAGCCAGGAAATATTGCTCTAGGAATATCGACTCGCCACAGAATATTGAGGCTGTGAGGCAGTCTCAGGCGCTCAGCAGGAGATATTGCTCTAGGAATATCCGATCGCCACAGAATATTGAGGCTGTGAGGCAGTCCCAGGCGCTCAGCCAGGAGATATTGCTCTAGGAATATCGAATCGCCACAGAATATTGAGACTGTGAGGCAGTCTCAGGCGCTCAGCAGGAGATACTGCTCTAGGAATATCCGATCGCCACAGAATATTGAGGCGGTGAGGCAGTCCCAGGCGCTCAGCCAGGAGATAGTGCTCTAGGAATATCGAATCGCCACAGAATATTGAGGCTGTGAGGCAGTCCCAGGCGCTCAGCCAGGAGATACTGTGTTGCTCTAGGAATATCCTATTGCAGCGCGAAGAGAATATTACACAAGGATCTGATTTTCTCTCCGTACAAAATGGTGTTGGTGCAAGAGTTAAGGGATCATAACACGGCAAACCGTGGCTCAGTGGGCTGAGTGTTTAATCGGAATTTTGTCCGACGATGTCATTCTCCTCATGACAGATGAAGCACGCTTCTGTCAACAAACAGAATTCTCGCTGCTGGGCAGAGGAAAATCCGCATCAGCTCCATCAACGGCCTCTTCACAGAGCACACGTGACTGTTCCGTGTGGAGTGGCAATCTTGGGAGTCATAGCCCCTTATTTAATGACATTCAATGTTCATTTTCTAACAATAAATAAGAAATTAAAATAAAATTTCACCGCTTTATATACTTTTCAAATCGCCAGGTTCCTTTGCCATATCCAATTTTGGCCCATTAAGATTTTATATGGGATTAACCATTGCTGCTGTCTGTAGTTTCAGCACAGCTGATGCTAATTTCAGTACAAATTAACATGATGATTATCTGCTTTCCATTGAAGCTGCGAACTGCCGTGAAGAAAGTCTCTCCCATTGGTAGCAATAAGGGGAGGACATTATGGTCGGTGGTCACTGAGGACGTGGAGACCAAGAAACAAGAGGAGCTCGAGTTCGATGCTGTGATGGTCTGTAACGGGTAAGTAAGTATTATTCTATGATCTTACGAAACTTATGGCGAGAAATATTTTCAATGCATGGAATACGGGCTTCTTAAAATCTTGGAAGAATTGAAGCGTAACACATTGTTGAAATTACCATCTTCAGTGCTGTGACGTCACGCATCTGTGTAATCATGTCACAGAACAGTAATATTCACCGCCTCGACAACCATAAATCCCATTCAATGATGGATACGGTAGTTCAAAAGGCAGTTCATTTAATCCATTGAAAAACATGTGAAATATACTGTAACAGGCATTAGTGACTATAGACGGGGTTTTGATTTGTCAATAGATTTAATGACCACTTACATGTCATAACCACAAATAATTATTACACTATTGCAGATTTCCACACTACAAATCAGTATATTTCCACTGGTCTTTACTTAGTAACGGCTCTCCACAACGGCCATTCCTCTGCCGCGTCTTTACTAGACGTTTCCTGGTAACGAATCTTAGCAATGGAGATTCTTCCGCTTCCGTTGTCCGTTGGTTAACACTCCACACGTGAACCCTGAACTGCAGTGCACTCACTCGCTGAACCGAACATATAACCTCGGAGCGGACTTAGAGAAAACACCGCCTGCATGATTTCTTCTATTGAGTGACGTCACCGCGCACGCGTAATCTGCGGGTGCTCTATAGCAACGACTGATATTTACAAAGTCGTCTCTTAGCAACGGATATATACGCCACAATGCATTCATTTTCTGATATGACTTAAAAGCATATATATACAGTACATATAGGTCTCTGTTCAGAATTCAGATTTTTCAGTTATGTGTAATATTTTCATAGTGTGCAATGTCGTCAGTAGAAGCACAGTATGAGATTATCTATGCACATTTTTAAGTTTCACTGCGTCACCTATGCCCGTAACATAGTTCCTTTATCTACTCAGTGCACACTGGACAGTACTCTGGGGCGAGCACTATGGGTGTGCACTGCTGGACCAACGAACTTATACGCGAAGTATGTAAACATCTGTAAATTAAATATCTACCCCAGGATGGTTTTATTTTTCACTCTTTCGCTCTTCTAGTGATCCGTGAATGTAAGGCATATTGTCTCTTGCTATATATACACTTCAGTTAATGAGACATAACCTGCAAAAATTTTTGTTGCGTAAATATTGTTTCTGAACATTATCCGCTATCCTGTTTTCATTGAAAACGCCCTCTTTTTAAAATATTTATATTAATGTACCATCGTCACAACATTTATGTCTTACTGAATGTACTTAATATATAAGCATGCAATTGAGTTCTTTAAGGACTGAAACAGTTAAATTGTGTTAACATGAAGAGCCTCTTTACTGAAAACATTTTGACATGGTAATAGGTGTATTTCTGTGCCGGTCACGGTAGCCGAGCGGTCTAAGGCATGTACTGTCCTCTCTCGCTTGGAAGCCGGGATCGTGGGTTCGAATCCCACTCAGTGCATGGATGTGTGTGTGCGTTTTTCTGTGTTTGGGTACCGGTAGAGGCCTTGAGACGAGCTGATCACCCGCCCAAGGAGTCCTACCGAATGTGTAAGATCTAGAAAAACCGAAGTGAACGGAGAAGTTCATGGAGGTAGGCCTAGGCCCACTGGGGCTGTAGTGCCAAGGGGGAAAAAAATAGGTGTATTTCTTTATGTTATCTTATAAATACAATTTATATTTAATTTCTTCTTGTGTAATGTATGGATGTATAGACGGATGCTAGGAGTGACTTATAAACTGGTTTTGGAGTGGATGATTGGATTTATTGATACCTTATAAATTCAACTCAGGACTACAGGCAGTTACAGCGTCAATAACTTTCACTTCTCCAATTGTCCAGACCGGCTCTGGGGTTCACTCAGCCTCCTATACAATGGGTACCGCGGGTTCTTTCCCGGGGGTAAAGCGGTCGAGGCGTGAAGCTGACCCCTCATCTCCAACTAGTACCGAGGTCAAGAAAATGTGGAGCTATACATCCACTCCGCCATTCGTCTTCATGGCGTAGTGCTTAATTATTATTATAACAATAAGAAGAATAAATAATAATGTGACTGGTTCATTTAGGCATTATTCTGTACCATATATACCAGAAATTGAGGGAATCGAGAAGTTCGAAGGATTGATTCAACACAGCAAAGCCTATCGGTCAGCCGAAGCATATAGAAATCTTCGCGTGGTTGTCCTTGGTGCTGCTTCCTCGGGGATGGACATTGCGGTGGAGGTAGCCGCGGTGGCCAATCAGGTAAGACTTTCCCACGTGCTTACTCCTGCGTCGTGTACAGAGACTTCCTCCCACGGATGTTAGTGTTATTTACAGTCACCGTGTGTCCACGTTTTGAAAATATGCCTGCTTTAAACCGACACGGAGTATCAGACTGTTTGGGTGATACTCAGAATTACTGGGATTTTGGACTTTTTCCATCGAAAATAAAAAAATGATTTTTTTTTATTTATTTTTTTTACCGGAGTTCCCTCTGCTGTCAGACAAACTCAACGTTCCTGTACAACTTTAGCCTCAAACATAGTATTCTCACAGTTCGTATCCGGCACTTAAACTGAATGTGATTCCATCACATGCGAGTCAATTGATTTTGACAAAACTGGGATAAAAATTACGCCAATAAGGTCAACGCTAGGCCCCTTAGAAAGAGCTATTCTCAATCACTAAGGGGCCCAACTGAGTAGGTGTCTTCCTTCTTCACCTGAATACGGAAACAGATCCAGTTTCCGAAACGTCGTGCCTTCTATAACCTAGAGTTCCGGACAATGGAAAAAATCCAAACCCCAGTAATTCTGTGTCATTCACCATCGTCAGAACCCCTTAGAATCCACCTGTCCTACCTTGTTGTAACCTTATGCACTGTTCAGTGTGGACTATTATACACACAAGTTAATGTGTATGTATGTAAATATGGAAGGTTTTCCCATTTGATGTGTGGGTATGTTATTGTATATTGCAGGTTTATATTAGCCACAATTTACGGGAATCTCTGATGTACTTGCCGCCAAACGTAAAACAAGTGCCGGGCATCAAAGCAGCTTCCATTGATGGATTTACTTTCCTGGATGACTCCAGTGAGAAAGCTGATGCCCTGATTTATTGCACAGGTGGGCTGACTGACTGTCAAATGGGATAAATGTACAGAGATAAAGGGAAAAGAATACGTTTTAGCAAACAGGATGGGAATACGTTCGTTAGCTTTCGTTTACAAATGTAATGGACAATTTTCATCTCAAAGTACAGTGGGAGGCATGCTTCAGCATCAAATAATTGGAAGAGACATGTACCAAAGCTCTGTATTAGCTAATGAAACTGAAATTGTCTGAGAAAGACACGAAAAGGGCAATTATTGGGCGAGAGTTGATGCAACAAGCTCCATATGCCCCTAAATACGACTATTTCAATAACAATATGCACAAAAGGAAGCAGGGGGCACGCGGTAGCGTAGTGGTTGAGGCACTATGCTACATGACGGAAGGTCGCGGATTCAAGTCCCGATGAGGTCATTGGACTTTTTTCAATTGACCTAATCCTTCCAGCCGTACTGTGGCCCTGGGGTTCACTCAGCCTCTAACAGAAATGAGTACCAGGAATTAATTAAAGGCTGACAACCTTACCGCCATCTTTGAGCCGATTGTCTAGATAATGTGGGAACCTCAACGTCTCACAACCCTATGGACCTCCACGGCATGTTACAGGGATACCTTTACTTTACTTTACTTTTACAAGAAGAAGAACTTTCGTACTGAAGCGTAGTCAGCTGAAGATGACAAATGTAATCTGATATTTTGCATAAAATAAAACTATTTTCCTTCTCACAAATAGATAATTCTTTGTTAATTTTGCATAAAATTATAAAATAAATATCAGTATTGTAGCCTTGTATATCTTCATACAGAAACAATTCTGTCTACAAAATTATGTCGTGCTCCATCTGTTAGTTAACGTGAAAATACAGGATGTCCGGATGAAAGGTATCCAAAATAAAATAATTATAGTATCTCAGAAAGCTTTTATTATACACATTTATGGGTTACACCACTACAAAGGGAAACTATGAAAGTTTTTTCTGAGTACATAACTTTCTCAATAAATTTAAATGTGGGTTCCCTTGATGGCACGACAAATATCCAGGCTTGAAGCATGTTTGGTGTTACCGTAGCCACAGCGTACCTTATGCGGGCTTTCAGGTGTTGAAGCTCGTTGATCTTAACCTGGTAGACAATGTTCTTCACACAACCCCACAAGAAAAAGTTCAGTGGGGTTAAATCAGGCGACCTAGGAGGCCAAGAAATTGGTTCATCTCTGCAGATCCATCTCCTTGCCATCTCTCTGTCCAGGTGATTCCTAACATGGTGGCAGAAATGTGACGGCGCATGCGCGTAAGCCGGGCATGAAAGATAGAAAAACTTACAGGGTGTTCCTTTCCGATGACATAAACTGGATACGTGTATGACAATTAGTTTCCCAGATATGCATTTTTTATTTTGGATACCTTTCATCCGGACACCTATACATACATAACAATATACTACACGTAAAGGCGCGTCCACATTACTCGTCTGGCTTTTACATGTGCTCGTAAATCTTCGTCCACACTACTTCAGTTGCTCGCCAGGCTTCGGCGCGTGAGGATCCGTATATTTACTCGTAGTGTGTATAGGCTGTAGTCGTATTTTAATTTATTTGCTATAGTTTTTAAATTGAAAATTTTGCTTGTTTTGTGACTTGTCATATCATCCACATTACTCGCGAGCATAGCGAGTCACACGAGCACGAGTAATGTGGACGCGCCTTAAGGGTCACCAGTAGTTCTGTATCGCTGTGTTACGAGTATGTGGACCGGAAGTCCACTACCAGTCGACGTTAATAATATACTGTAGTAATTATAAATGTTACATTTATTGGTGAAAGTTGTTTAAACACAAACGCAGATCATGTTCTTTCAATTTCCAGGTTACAAATTCGACTTTCCGTTTCTGACTCCGGAATGCAAGGTGCGAATTGAAGGCCGTCGCGTCATGCCCCTGTACAAACATTTGATTCACACAGAACTTCCAACTCTTTGCTTTGTTGGTTTACCCTTCAAAGTACTTCCTTTCCCACTCTTCCACTTTCAGGTAATGGATTTCTTTCCTGATGTTGTCATCAGTAGTAGTAGTAGTAGTAGTAGTAGTAGTAGTAAGCTTAGTGCATACCAAGTACTGAAAAAGACGAGGGCTGACTCCGCTGATTGCAGAATATTTTGGAAGTGTTTTAGGGTTGGCAAAAAGAATACGTATATTGTAACATTCAGTACTGATATATTTTAAGGTAGCTGGGAAACCAATGGCGTTCCCCAATCACTACTCACTATATAACGCTCGACATTAGCTGTGGAGGGCAAAGGAACTTGTTGTGGCCTCTGAATAAACTGTCTTCAGATTCAAATAATGATTTTGCCTATGGTTCTGTATGGGTGTGAAACTTTTACGTTAAGGGAGGAACATAGACTGAGGGTGTTTGAGAACAGGGTGTTGAAGAGAATATTTGGACCGAAGAGGGATGAAGTGACGGGAGGTTGGAGAAAACTGCATAATGAGGAGCTTCGTAACTTGTACTCTTCTCCAAGTATAATTAGAATGATCAAGTTGAGGAAGATGAAATGTGCAGGGCATGTAGCACGAAAGGGGGAGAAGAGGAATGCATATAGGGTTTTGGTGGTAAAGCCCGAAGGAAAGAGACCACTGGGAAGACCAAGGCGTAGGTTGGTGGACAATATTAAAATGGGTCTTAGAGAGATAGGATGTGATGGATTGGATTGCTCTGGCTCAGGATAGGGACCGGTGGAGGGCTCTTGTGAACACGGTAATGAACCTTCGGGTTCCATAAAATGCTGGGATGTTATGCACAATGAATGACTGAAATATTTTGATCTGATCATAAGTTACACGTACTGAAACTGGTTCACGCGTGCGATATACAGTGTGACAATGTGGCATTCTTGGTTTCTCAAGAAGGGCTTTAGCTCCATGGAGTTAGCCGGGGAGTTAAGTTAGCGATTACAAAATTGTCGGCGATGTTGACCTATAATGTCCGATAAATTAACTCTGACAGAATAAGAATTTAACTGATAAGGTTTCCATTAATGTGACATGAAATAATAATAATGCTTACTTACTTAAATACTTACTCACTCATGGAGGTGAGCCCTTCTAGAGAAGCCGCCAATTCTGCAGCTACTCAAGAATTTCCCGGCATTTTATGGAACCCGAAGGTTCATTACCGTGTTCACAATAGCCCTCCACTGGCCCCTATCCTGAGCCAGATCAATCCAATCCATACCATCTCATCCTCTCTCTCTAAGATGGATTTTAATATTGTCCACCCACCTACGCCTTGATCTTCCCAGTGGTCTCTTTCCTTCTGGGTTTCCCACCAATATCCTACATTCATTCCTCGTCTCTCCATTCGTGCTACATGCCATGCCCACCTCATCCTAATAATTATATCAATAAAGGGATAAGTGTGTAGGACTATAATTCAATTTTAGTTGAAAGCGGCTTTATAATTTGTGTTACGTATTCCTTGTAATTTATTTTGTTTTGCGAGATGGAAGCTCTCCATATGTGTCATATACTAAGAACTGTGTTCTCATCAACAGATACAGTATTTTATGAGGACACTGGACGGTTCAATCTCACTACCAAGTAAGGACGAAATGGACGAGGAGACGGAAAGAGATTTTCAGAAACGACTCGCACTGGACATGCCACCAACATATGCGCACCAGATGGGATCCATGCAGTGGGACTATTTCGCGGAGTTAGCTGACTGCCTCGGAATCAAGAGGCTTCCTCCAGTCGTGAGAATGGTGTACGATTATGTGGCCGACAGGAGGAAAGAAGACATGATGCACTACAAGACCGAGAGTTACACTCTGCTGGACCATGGACATTTTGCGAGGAATCAGGTTTCACCTTGAGAAGTGAACAGAAAAATGTTTCTTGAGCTGTGTGGAAGTACGTTGCCAAATATTGGATACAAATACAAATAAATACACCAAAGCCCTAATCCATTTTTATTGTAAGAATCGCGAATTGATTTTTAGAGGAAGTTTTCTTTAAAACTCTGTACTCTTTGTACTGTTTCTCCCCAGGCTTCCAAGCGACATTACTGTAATATGTTCTTACATGTTCATTGTTAGTCTTGTGCCGAGAAAAACGTAAAAGTTAATATTAATTCAATAAATTAACGACTAATAACTCTTTACTGACATTATGTATAACCAATAAGCATGTACTATGTGTCAATATGAGAGTAGTATTATTATGTATTTGTGGTTGTCACTATTATAAGTATATAGTTATAAATTTCATATTATTCGTACAATGAGAGAAAAGCAATGCATTCTACTTACACTAAAATAGTGTAATAATTTGAATACTCGTATTTATAATGAAATGAGATAGTTTTTACTATTTTTAATAAAATTATTATAGAACTATTTTAATGCTGTTGTACAGAATGATCCTTTAAGGATTGCATATAACTAAAGCTATGAGTTTTCGTCACAAATTTCATAACAATTCTCGCACCCTCCAGACGACTCAAGGAAACATTAACTTTTAACAATAGGTACACCGACGTTTACGAACATCAGCGGCGCTGCCAAAGGAAAAGATGAAACATGGTGCCCTTTAGCAAGATTTGTCATACTTACTTACTCATGGAGCTGAGCCCCTCTGGAGGAGCTGCCAATTCTGCAGCTACTCAAGAATTTCCCAGCATTTTATGGAACCCGAACGTTCATTACCGTGTTCACAAGAGCCCTCCACTGGTCCCTACCATCAGTCAGATCAATCCAATCCATACCATCACATCCTATCTAAGATCCATTATAATATTGTCCATCCACCCACCTACGCCTTGGTCTTCCCAGTGGTCTCTTTCCTTCTGGCTTTCCCACAAATATCCTATAAGCATTCCTCGTTTCCCCCATACGTTCTACATGTCCTGCCCACCTCATCCTCCTTGACCTGATCATTCTAATTATACTTGGAGAAGGGTACGTGACTCACTTCACACCAAATAGTTGTCTGTAGAATAAACAAAAACCAACAAACTCCGTGGCCTGTAGTCCGCATGCGAACTATATCGACCGAGTGACCGCCGCTTGTCAGCGTAGTGCCAACTTTAGCGGGTAGAAGGTGTCACGTGTTCAGCGCAACGGTTCCCCACGGCCGTTAATTTCGGTTTTCTACACCGGAAGTTGTCTGTAGAATACTTGAAATAAATAGAGTGCTGAGGACAATATTTGGATCGAAGACTGAAAAAAAATAAAGTGATAAAAGGTCTGAGAAAACTGCATAATTAGGAACTTGATAACCTATACTCTTCGCCAAGTATAATTAGAATGTTCAAACCAAGGAAAGAAACCAATAGGACGACAAAGATTTAATTCGCTTAGTGGGTGGTGTAGTCCAACTGGGTCCACTCGGCACGGAGGCCACTGACTGGGCTATTGTAGCCTGCCCCGGGTGATTATGATGATGGAGAATTTGGTGGAATGAAGATTGGCAGGGGAAACCGAAGTACTCGTAGAAAACCCGCCCCAGCACCACTTTGTCCACCCCAAATCCCACTTGACCAGACCCGGGATCGAACCCGGGCCGCCGCGGTGGGAAGCCAGCGACTAACCGCTTGAGCTATGGCGCGGCCAATTACAAATACTTAATATGCACACTGCAGTGTGTTTAAATAAGAATTTCGTAAATTGATTTCTTTTAAATACATGAATAGTGCGAAAACGTGACGGTTGTGACGATATGTACTTCAGTCTTTGTCGTTCAATGCGACATATGTACTTTTCAGATATCTTGCCAGCCGAAATTTACACCGCATAGAGGATTGAACATAACGCTTATCATGTACATGTACGTATAACAGTTTTTAGATTACGGTTATGAATTATAACCAGCACGTAAGCACAAAAAGTAAAGTAAAAGTATCCCTGTAACAGGCCGTGGAGACCCATGTCGTGAACAAGACCTCGTGGGGGTAAGCTTGCGACGTCACCTTACTACTACCTCACCTGAATGTAGACCTGTCCGTCTCTCCGTCCGGGTTAAACACTGTCGGCGCATACTGCCCACTCTGACACAGAAACTTTCTTCTCTGTGCACTCACAGTACACTGCTCGTCACAGGCTGCCCCCTCTNATCCATAACCTGGACATATCCAATGTCGTGTCGTCACGCTAGGCTACATGTACCCTGCCAGTGTCGCAGTGGTTGTTCCAGTGGGCATCTGAAAGACGGTCCTCCACAGTAAACTTTCTTCTTCCAACAGCTTGTAAGTACCCAGCTGATCAAGAAATTCGTTACTTAGTCTAGTTTCTTGCAGTGGGGTGAGACTGAATCCACTATGTACGCTAATTGTACCAGCCCCATATGACAGATCATGAATGTAGAGCAGTCAGTTGAATGAGAATTGGTAGGGGAAACCGAAGTACTCGGAGAAAACTTGCCCCAATACCACTTTGTCCACCACAAATCCCACATGACGTGACCTGGGATCGACCCGGGCCGCCGCCAACACAGCCCTTAGAGAATCCTCTCGGTATATTGACTGATTTCGGATATGGCTGCTCCAACATGGCTTATACGCGCATCTTAATGAGTCCTTTCTGTATATATGTTGAAACTGCGACACCATTGGAACTTCTTTCGCAAATGTTCCTCTACACAGAGGATGAGTACCTCAACATTACATATATATACACTGCTTGTCCAGTAACAACCCCTCTCTGTGCTGGGAAGGGAATACTGCCTCAAGTCATGCAGATAATTTGGTACGTAAATTATACTGGGTGGCTACTGTGCAGTAATATAATTACGTGCTGTAATGATTCCAAATGTTAGAAGAAAATTAGACATTCATAACCTTAAATATGTCATACACACAGATTCATAAACACGCATACAAAACAATTTCCTTGTTACAAATATTATGTTTTTGGACATTACCCATCGTCTTGTCTCTTTTTTAAAAAACCGTCCTGTTTATTTCTCAAAACACAACGTTTCGGAGACTGGATTCCGTCTCCGTCGTCAGGTAAAACCTATTCAGTTGGGTCCAATAGACAGAGCTAACTGTGTTGTTTTTTGAAAAATAAACAGGATGGTTTTTTTAAAAATAGACAAGACGATGGATCATGTCCTAAAAATTATACTTGTAGCAATATACCATCGTCACAAACTTTTAGATCTTGATCTCCTTGCGTCTTGTCATTCCATGTGAATATCATTTTGGTTACTGTTTCATTACGACACTGTTCTCGGGACTTGTGTCCCCCTGAGTCTTTATTCTGATGTCAGCTCTTCCATGCCACGCATTTACATTAATGAATCTGATACTGCATTATAGAAACGTTGCGTAGTACTGTACTTAAATATCTACCATTTGCCTCTCAGAGGATTGAAACATACATTTCAGATACCAATGTTGTTCTGACGATCAGAAGGAAGAATTTTATTATAAGAATTATGGCAGAATGTGGCCAAATCAAGTTCTGAAGTAGGTCTAAATATTTACAATGAATATAAAAGTATTCACCAAGAGTGTTTTATTGGCAGAAGTTCAAAGTGAGGTTCGCAGAATTTATAACCTGAGTCATGAGAGCTCTCATTGTACCTCACGGACACTCACGAACACTCACGAACACGCCCACTGTGTGTGCTGCTAACTCTTCATAGCCTGATACCACATAAAAGTGTTTAAAAATGACGTGGGAAACACCAAAACTCGTAGGGACCTACAGATCCAGCTAATACTGAAGTTAGGAACATGAGGAGTCATACCTCCACTGAACATGCGTCTTCAGGGCATGATGCTTAATTAAGCACAGTGAGCCTTATATTTATTTTACTCACCTTGTAGAAAACACACTACTTACCCATAACAAAGACCAATCAGTTAATGTTGTTTACAGCAAATATCGCAGTTCATTCTGACAATCATAACACATAAATACGCTGTTTATAATCTCTTGATGTTAGAACAGCTGGTAATGTGCAAAGACGTTCAGATAATATTATTAGTTCTGCTTAATGAAAGCGGTCCATTGGGGTCGCTGCTGTTTGAGTGTCTCAGAGCACAAGAATACAGAACAGGAAGACGACTAACATACTAAAAACTTCGTCATAACATTAGCGATGATCCATGAAAAAAACTGCAATTTCTTTTGCGACTATATTTGGTTCGTTTCATACTATCAAAAATATGAAACATTATGGACAGAAAATATGATGAGCAGGAAAATGTCTTTTTTTTAGGCAACTTGTTAAATTTTTGTTTCACTAAAATAGTTTATTGCATATTTACAGTAGCTTATAATCATCAGTACATTACAATACAATACAGCGGTAGAAACAATCACGCATATAACCTACAAACACAAAATGAAACACTCGTTATATTTGCAACGTTCAGCGAAATTAATTATTCACAATCTGATACACTTGGGGCAAACGTTTGGTATATTATATACAATAGAATTTATATTACATTATGTACAAAAATAAATTACACTGTTATACAAAGAGGTGAGTTATGTCCAAGATTCATCTCCTGAAGGCCAGTAGGATGCAATATGCTAAAACAAACACAAGTAAATCCAAGGTACTTGTGGATCGGGAGCTACTGTTCAGTCTCGAGGATTCTTGCAGACTAATACTGCTATAAACTTTGGTTTTATCTTCGTCTTCTCCTCCAACGAAATTGGCGGAGTCCTCTTCGGATGCTCCGACCGAGGCGCGATCCCCGGACTCCATCTGAGCTTCTCCGGGTTTCTTCCTTCGATGTGGTTTTGACCTTCGATTATGGCACGTGTCTATATCTTCATAAGGTTTCGTGATGTTTGGATAATATGCCTCAAAGTTTTCTGTGCCCTGAAACATCACAAACATTTAAACATCTGTTCATTATTTAACACTAGAAAAAAACAAAAAAACTTGAAATTTCAGTGGTGAAACTCTTCCTAGCAAGAACATTAATGAATTTTGGGGGTGAAATCTACTGAGTACATAATTTATGTTGATGTGCAGCATTTTGTGTTTCTAAAAACAAGCTCCATCCCAAATGCGCAACCCCAGTAACTGAAAATATTAAATTGCTATTTAAAGTTATGAAACGAACATTTTCGGCAAACGTGAACGTTGAAATGCCGATTTAAATATCCTCTCTGCCGCCATTAATCGCCGATATTCTGCTCTTCTTCGTAACTACTACTACTTCTGATAACTGCTAATTTGTTTTCAACAGTAATCTGTCATATGACAGGTCCACAGTCTCTTCCAAAACAGCTTCTCCACTTAACGCGATCTAGAGCTTTCTCCTTCAAATAAAAATATCCTCTTCTGTCCCCAAGGTCATCCAGCATCTTCTTACATTTTTTCCTCGTCTTCTGGTCGCATACATTTTAACATTTAACATTTTAACGGTAACGTAACTAGTTTCCTTTCTTACTCGCAATCATCACTCTGCCATGTTACTGCACAGTAGCTACCCGACATGGCGCTCACTGCTGCAAAACCGATTCACCGGAATCATTCCTTCAAATGGGGCGACCATATATTAACCTACTTGTAGCTGTCATTGTGAAATGCCACTACGCAGTGCTTATGGGCATATGGATGTTCGCTGTGCACTGCTGCCAATCTGAAAAACCTTAATATTTTCTTCAGTACAAATGATGTTGACTTCTGTTCTCAACGTGCCGACCGTCCTCTGCGGCTATAATCACGAATTTTACGGCCAGCACAAAACTTTCTATACCGTTCACTTACACTGCGACATGGCCACGCCATAGCTCAAGCGGTTAGTCGCTGGCTTCCCACCGCGGCGGCCCGGGTTCAATTCCGGGTGTGGTCAAGTGGGATTTGTGGTGGACAAAGTGGCGCTGGGGCAGGTTTCATCCGAGTATTTCGGTTTCCCCTGCCAATCTTCATTCCACCAATTGCTCCACAATCACCCTCACCTATCATATGGGGCTGGTACAATAGGCCAGAAGTGGCCGCAGTACAAGGGACTTAGTCCCACCCCACTAACATAAATAATACACTGTAACATAACTGTTTCGCCATAAACCTCGACAGGCTGGCCATGAATTTTGGCTGTGGCATTTTCTTTATGTACAAAAATCGGACCACTGCACTATTTCCAACTGTGACCAGTTTTATAACGTAGCAAACAAAACACAAAAACGAAAAAACACCATGATTTCAGTCCGTAAGCGAACTATACCGACCGAGCGACGGCCGCTTCTCGGCGAAGTTAGTGCAAACTTTTGCGGATAGATAGTGACGCATGGACAGCGCAACGAATTCCCACGGCCGTTAATTTCGGTTTTCTAGACCGGAGCCGCCATTTCCTTGAAATAGCTCCTCAATTATCATCATGAGGCTGAGTGGACCCCGTTCCAGACCCACTACTACTAAAAAAAAATATCTGCAAGCTCCGGGAATCGAACCCGTACATCTGGATCTAGCAGTCATTTTAAACTGCCACTGCGCAATAGCTTCGCGCACCTGTGTGAGTTGGCTGTTACTGCTCCCGTGGACTCCGCACTTGCTGCTAGTTAATGACAGACCTAGTGAATTCAGTTCCCATCAACCCCATGGTTCATGAACTAGCACAAAGTAACCGTGCACTCCAGAGGGCTACAATACAACCGACACGCATCAGACCACCAGTATATTACAGAGCAACTTCGCATTTCCACGTACGTCACGTGACAAATATGACGCATGCATGTTCGTCATAGGCCAGGTACGAATCTGACACATAATTCATAAGTTCACAATTTTATTGATCTTCAACTGTGATCTGTGCAAGTATACATACACGGATTGCTATTTATGATCGAATTCAATGTAATGATTTTAGCACTATATAGCGAGGTCGGTATAGCTACTGGCTGGACGACCAAGGGGTCGGAGTTCGAGTCCCGGTGGGGGCAAGAATTTTCTCTTCTCCACATTGTCCACACTGGCTCTGGGGTCCACCCAACCTCCTATCTAATGGGTACCGGGGGTAAAACTGCATGACCACCTCCAACTAATGCCGAAGTCAAGAAAATGTGGATCTATACATCCACTCCCCCATACGCCTTCATGGCGTAGTGCTTAATTAGTTAATTACAGGGACTTACCTTACCAAAACAATTTAAAACTGCATTATCACCTACTCTAAATAAGCGGTTGGACTTCTGCATATCAGGACCGCGTCTTCAGGAATCCTGCAGGTGAGGATGTTGACGCTGTGCTGTTAGGGACGTGTATAGCTCTGATTCCTGGGAGTCAGTCACGCTTAACATTAACTGCAGAGCCTATGACTGAACTTACCGGTAAGAGTGTAGGCTTCTTCATCCAGCAGAGAGGCTTGAAGCTGCCTTTGCGCGTTGCTTCCTGAAAACTCCTGAACTGGTTCTCCCAGTCATACGTAACGAGACGGCTTTCCAGCGTCATGTCAGCCAGCTCGGGTGGAGATTTGATGCGCACCGGATTCGAACCCCTGCCGTGAAATTTACTTCATTTTAAAACATATGTACTAATAGTTTATAAATGTTTATAATGAGTTTAAAAATTTAAGAAAAGGATATCAATGTCTCTTGATCCACTGAAGTCTGACATTCAGCCACATGACATTTGGAAAACACACTGCATCTCCATTACAAAAACCCAGTTGCCCAATGCTGTTTAGGAAAACAATCGCTGTCCATTCTGAGAAACAAACAAATAACATAACAGGCCACACTTCGCTCATAGAAAACAGTTGGGATGACAGAATATTCTAAGCGAACAGCAGTAAATATTCCAAGAATTTTTTTTCGCTTAATGGGGGTGGAGTCCAGCTGGGTCCATTCGGCACGGCGGCCATTAATCGCCTATTGTACCTGCCCCAGGTGATTATGATGATGGAGAATTTGGTGGAATGAGGATTGGCAGGGGAAACCGAAGTACTCGGAGAAAACCTGCCCTAGCGCCACTTTGTCCACCACAAATCCCACTTGACCAGACCCGGGATCGAACCCGAGTGGTTCCAAGAATTTCGTTTATATTTAATTTCATCGTCATTGCAATTTAAAATGGTTACCGTCGTTCCTTAATAGCTGAAATTCGTTATATTATCGAAGGATTTATGGGTATCTTTACAGGAAGGAGACTGCCTTGCATTCTAATATAGATGCATGAACATCTGCGTGTTCACTTTAGACCAGGGATTCTCAAACTTTGTCAGACAGCGGCTCGGTAAATTCTTTTTTCTATAAGACGAGGCCCCGTCGGTACCGGGTCGCGGCCCGGCGGTTGAGAAACACTGCTTTAGAACAATCTCCCTGTCTTGCCTTGAATAAAGCTTCTGTCTTATTCTTCGCAGTGTTTACGTTCAGAAAACGTCCTGCATTACTTTTATGAAATATCAGATTCTGAAGAGGAAATATCTTTGTTGGTACATCAGAAAGCAAGAAATTAGTACCACGCTTGTCGCTTTTATATCAAGTGTTGTTTACTTGAAGTGAGCATATGTGGTTTATCTTCAATAAATTACAGTGTGCTTCCTAACGTTGTTAATTTCGTTTCACATTATCTCTAACCCCAAAACAATTACTAATTCGGACCTACGAGCAACACGCTGGAACATTAAGCACACAGCAATTACATATGTGGCGCTAAAGCCTATTAAAGGCGATAGTATTACTCATGTTTACTGGGCCCAATGTTAAGTTTAAATGTTCTTTTAATCCTACAAGCTATATCCTTTCATCAGCTCTAAAATTGATACAAAGTCTCACTGGAGCACCCATGTGGAGGCGGGGCTGAATACCTCCACCGTGACCCTGCGAGTTGTAGGAGGCGACGAAAAGGGAAGTCTCAGATCTGAGACAGTAAAATATGGTCGCGAGTCCCAAGGGACTCGGACCCGAGAAAGGCTGCGCTGGCAACGGCCAGCAGCATATACAAAAGACAGACCCGTCCTCTCGTCAGAGAGGGCGCCCCACAAAACAAGACCGTAACTGTCAAGCAGTAATAAATATCTGGTCATGAGCTCCACATGGGTTTCGATACCAAGACTTACTGCCTGACTGATCGTCAGTCGCAATGTCACTTTGACTTTGATTTGATGTCTCACTGAGATTTATAGTAACTACATAAGGTTTCCCGTAAGTTGCTTAATAGTTTCATGCATACATCAAGCGGTTAGTCTCTGGCTTCCTACCGTGGCGGACCGGGTTCGATCCCGGGTCTGGTCAAGTGGGATTTGTGGTGGACAAAGTGGCGCTGGGGCGGGTTTTCTCCGAGTATTTCGGTTTCCCCTGCCAATCTTCATTCCACCAATTGCTCCACAATCACCCTCACCTATCATCTGGGGCTGGTACAATAGGCCAGAAGTGGCCGCAGTACAAGGGACTTAGTCCCACCCCACTAGCAATAAAAAAATACTCATGGAGCTGAGTCCTTCTTGAGGAGAAACCAAATCTGCAGCTACTCAAGAATTTCCCAGCATTTTATGGAACCTGAAGGTTCGCTACCGTGTTCACAAGAGCCCTCCACTGGTCCCTATCCTCAGCCGATCAATCCAATCCATACCATCCCATCCTATCTCTCTAAGATCCATTTTAATATTGTCCACCCACCTACTCCTTGGTCTTCCCAGTGGTTTCTTCCCTCTGGCTTTCCCACCAATATCCTATATGCATTCCTCTTCTCCCCCATTTGTGCTACATGCCCAGCCCACCTCATCCTCCTTGACTTGATAATTCTAATTATAGTTGGAGAAGAGTACAAGTTATGGATCTCCTTATTATGCAGTTTTCTCCAACACCTGTCACTTCATCCCTGTTCGGTCCAAATATTCTCCTCAGCACCCTGTTCTCAAACACCCTCATGTTACAACATACAGGAAAATTTAATTTAAAACAGTATCCTTTAAAAACATTTTAAACTTTATATCAGTGCATGACTGTTCTTTCCGAAAGAATATTGACACGTATTCAGAACAAGGAAGATGAGTTGAAGCTTGTTTTGCGAACACCCACTCATGTTTCATGTTTGACGAGATGCAGACATATATACTTTGTGTTTGGTTGCAGTATTCAATTGATCCCTCCATACCAGCAACGGCATTTCTCTTCTTTTTCTTTTTTTCTTTTTTTTTTATAAACGTGGTTTGTTCGCAGGTTCACTTTGTTATCCGATGCTTATGTTTCGGTAAAGACTACACCGTTGGAGGCACTGAAAATTAATGGGAGGTACATCACAGGAGCTTTGTAGTAATGCTTTTTTATAATGTGCACTTTTTTATTTTCATTTACCGTGTATAACATGCACGGGCAATGCACTGCGTGTGCTTCTGGCATGTGTTTAATGTTTAGTCTTACGCCAATCTTCATTCGAGTTTCTTGTACAAAGGCAATCAAACGCTCATTGCCACGTTCTTGTGTAGTAATTATACTCACGTAATCTGTCCGCCGTAAACTTTTAAAATGCCGTTAGTTTTAGTAAATACTGGAACAGACTCGCTGGAGAATTAATGATATAGAGGATGGCTACGGTCTACACATCTCAGGGTCGCTCTTCTTGAGCGTCAGGGAATTTTATTTTTGCCCCTCATTTCGAAACCGAGTATGGAGTCCTAGCCTATCGATACTCAGGAATAAAGTGACCACTCATCTTTATCTACTGACCTCATACATCTAATTGGCATGGTACTTAAACCTTCAGAGTAGGGGTTATAATTTGTACCATCTGTTTTAGAATTATGAAACTGAATTTCAAAAACACGATGACTAAAACAGGTAATTATAATGAAGATACAGTGACTTTTCTGCGAGATACGATCTGATTCACCAAGTATTATTATATAGGTGATAACTGTGACTATTATTCTGGATATTTCCCATAGTCTTTTGATAACGCCAAATTTCGCAAACTGAACCTGCTTCAGTCATCCAAAAATATACTCGATTATCTATCGATGCAAACAGATCGCTGTGGTTTCAAGAAACTTAAAGACGATTGACAGAATTGTTAAAAGCCATCGTCAGAAGCGTTTCCACTTAGAGCTCCAGGCTTCAGAGGGCAAGTCACTGCCATAGTCTGAACTTGAGAAGTTTCAAGACCCTCTTAATTCCAAAGGCAATGAACGAATGAGCACATGATCTTGGCCCTAAGAAGATTTCCAGGCGAGTAACATCACTGTCACGCGAGTCTTCTTAAGTTGTTACCATGTAAGGACATCGCTATCTCGAATATATTTGTATTTTGATGGGGCACGCGGTAGCGTAGTTGGTTGAGGCACTACGCTACAAGCCGGAAGGTCCTTCCAACCGCACAATGTCCCTGGGGTCGACTAAGCCTCTAACAGAAATGAGTACCAGGAATATTCTGGGGGGGGGGGTTGCCGCCGCGTAACGCTAACATCACCGCCTCTGTGAGCCGATTGTCTAGAAAATGTGGGAGTCTCGACGTCTCACAACCCTATGGGTCTCCACGGCATGTTATTGGGATCGCTTTACTTTTTATTATATTGTGACGTGTACATCCATTGCTAGGCAACGATTCGGTAAACATATTCCCTCAATATACGCGAAAGCGACAATAGGACATCCAGTACTAGGCAACGTCGCAGCAAACACGCCTCAATAATAGATGCTGTGTTTTCTGCGTGGTACGTGCAAAGAGGTTATAAGAAGTGTTCGGCAGTATATAGGAGTACAGAACAGTAGTAAGAATGATGAGTCAAGTTTCGGGAGCCAGCCTGTCGGATATGAGGAACTGAATTCAGTGGAGTTTTCGGAATTGGCAGTTGCAGAATAACGGCAAGAAAGGAATTAGGCTGTGACATGAAAGCTTCATGTGTGAATCGATATGACAGTAGAACTGTTAGAAATCCGTTGCCAGGATACGACCAGTAAAGACTGAGAACCCTAGTCTGTGTGTAAGGTGAACTGGAAAGTGTGCAGAACAGCGATAGCGTTGTATTGTCTGTAGTCTCGAACTCTGTGAATGTATAAGGTGCAATAAATCCAATCACCCAACTCAAAACCCATCTTATTAGTCACTCCTACACGTGATAGTACTATATTTAGACGTGGAATCCGGTATGGTGAACTTTGTATAAATACGAGGGGGGGGCTATTAAAAACTTATTTTTTCGGTAGGTGTACAAGATCAAGGTTCTTAATCCTGTTGATTTTTCCGTAGTACTTTAATTGCTTTCCACAGTTACACTTCAAATTCATTCACAACAAACGTCACATCGAGTCATTTGCGTCATACTCAATAGTTCCTGAAATTGACTCTCGGCCCACATACTGACAACCCTGATTGTATCTTACGTGGCATGCCTCAGTTTATCCGACAAAATGCTGCAATAATTCCTTTAGCAGGTTTGGTCATACCTTTACACGTTCTTTCCAATTCAACTTTCAAAGTTATCACACTCTTCGACGCCCTGTATTATTTTTTTTATTGCTAGTGGGGTGGGACTAAGTCCCTTGTACTGCGGCCACTTCTGGCCTATTGTACCAGCCCCAGATGACAGGTGAGGGTGATTGTGGAGCAATTGGTGGAATGAAGATTGGCAGGGGAAACCGAAGTACTCGGAGAAAACCTGCCCCAGCGCCACTTTGTCCACCACAAATCCCACTTGATCAGACCCGGGATCGAACCCGGGCAGCCGTAGTGGGAAGCCAGCGACTAACCGCTTGAGCTATGGCGCGGTCTCAACTTTCCTTCCTTTGACCTGACAGTGAAAATACATCCACTTTTCGAAGGACTGTGTTTAAAAATACGAAGAGAATACAGAACGTAATCATATTTATTGTTCAGTAGGCAATTGTGTTCACGGCCCAACTGGTACCGGTCGTATGAATAAAGACATTTTTTGGTCTTTCAGCCCATCGGGAGGTTGCTGCATGACTACCTTGAAAGAAATCACGGAAGTTTTTCTCCAGTTCACCGTGCAGTGAGTTTGCAACCTTATGGGAAATAAAACCGTGTACTTTGCTAGCTTAGCAACTATTCACCATTTCGCACCGCATCGCATCTCAGAGGACTGTAAACTTCACATTCACCGCTGTGGTAACCTCAAATGCCGATCACGGTGACCGCGCGGTCTAAGACATGAACCATCTTGGCCCGCCCGAACACTGGGTTTGTGGGTTCCACACCCACTCGAGGCGTGGGTGTCTGCATTTATTTTCTGTTTTCGTTGTTCTGTGTGTAGGTAGCAGCCTTGCGACGGGCTGATTCCCCATCCAAGGAGTCTTACCGACTCTGTATAGATTCAGAAACTGAAAAAAACGGCTAAGGTTACCACGGGTTGTAGAGCAATAGACAGACAGGTAACCTCAAATCGCCTTACTATCCATAATCGAATTTTATATCCATTTGGCGTTAAATAACAAAGGTGGACAACAGAGTACCATTACACAATTTAGCAACCAAGTGACATGAATTTCAATCAAAATTATGTCGCTCAATAAGACATCATTTTCCCACTTTTTGAAAAAATTAAGCACAAAACAAAACAGAAGTGTTGATTATTTGAGGATTTCTGTATCAATACGAACTTGACGTGAAATTCATGTAAATAATATTTAAAAATTCAGTGTCTACCTAAAAACACCCACTGTGCATGCATTACAAAGAATATCCAATAAAGGTGTATAGTGAATTAATAGCTCTTTATTTTGAAAATCAAATTAAACCCCATAAATACTGCCCGGTGAACGGAGAAGTTCATGGAGGTAGGTCTAGGCCCACTGGGGTTGTAGTGCCCCCCCCCCCAAATAACTGCCCGTCGACAAAATGTAGATTTGTTTAACGCTAGAGCTGATTATATATGTATACAGTTGGTTGCTTTTCCTATTTCAGTTTCCGTTCTTCTCCAGCCTGATACTTCCACCCAGTAAGTGCGTTCTGTTATTGATTTCCTTGCTGCGTCTCATTATGCTAATACGTTGTGGAAGGCCGCAACGGAAACCGCGCAATCAGCCACAGTCAGGGTCGCCGCTACAGACCGACAATCCATTCACACGCTTGCTCATTCTGAATAAAGAACTGTAGTATTTCTGACATCTGAAATCTAATGCAATGGTAAACAGACATGTAAGGGCACATGCAAATAACTAAACCGAGTTATGTTTTCTCATTGTATAGTTTCTAATTCGACCGCTCTATTATTATTATTATTATTATTATTATTATTATTATTATTATTATTATTACTACTACTATTATTATTATTATTACAGTGTCGCAACGTTTGTAGTGGCCTACTTCCAAAACTAAAAGTAAAGCTATCCCTGTACCAGGCCGTGAAGGCCCATAGGGTTGTAAGACGTTGAGGCTCCCACATTATCTAGACAAACGGCTCATAGATGGCAGCAAGGTTGTCAGCCTTACGCATTTTATTCCTCAGGAAAATTACTTAATTAATTCCTGGTATTCATTTTTGTTAGAGGCTGAGTAAACCACAGGGCCTAGTGCAGCTGGAAGGATTAGTTCAATTGAAAAAAATCCAATGACCTCGTCGGGAATGAACCCGCGACCTTCCGGCTTGTAGCATAGCCCCTCAACTTATTTGGGTATTGCTATAAAACAAAGACGCAGAGTAAATTCTCGTGTGATGGCTAGAATTTGCACAATCTTCACATTCAGTTCGTTTTAAGTGCAGAGTGGAAACACCTCAACGTTCTCTATGGGTAGGCAACAAAATACGCTGTTTATAGGTACAAACCAACATGAACTACTGAATATGCCCCAAAAGAATGACTGATACTCACGGCCAGAGTTCCTGAATGCCCAGAGAATGCAGCACAGTTGGCAGGGATGGCAAACTGTGGCACAGAGACAGGTCAATCCGAGGGTAGTACATTGCGAAGACAAGACACATCTCCTCGCGTGTCGTCAGGCCGCCGAGAGTGATTGTGGTGCGTCCCTCGCTGTTGTATACACACTGGGCTATCAGGTGATCACCCTAAAGAGAAACACAGAACATTTCAGTCATGCGGTCACCCTGCAGGGAAGCACATAGAAGTGACCAGTTGATCACCCTGCAGAGAAACACAAAACTCTGTAAACAGGTGGTCACTCTACAGAGAAACACAGTACACTGTCATCAGTTGAACACCATACAGCGAAATACTGAATACGATTAACAGCGATCACCATACAGAGAAGGAGATGACACTGTTATCAGGTCGTTAACCCGCAGAAAGACGCAAAAACTAGGACAATGTTGTATTCTGCAGAGACATCCCACTGGAATAATGCTACGCAACCTACTAAAATGAATTCCGGGATTTCACACACCAACAACTCAAGAATGAAAATAGACATGAAGATGTTGGTATCTGCAGTATAATCGTAAACTCATATTGTTTCAGTGACGAAAGTTGCGCGCGCATCCAAACCGTAGTTAACGGGCTACTACAACTTTGATTACATGTGTGCGATCAGCAAAATGTCTGCCGCAAAGAAGAAAGCGCAGACCGTGTTCTTCGAGTTCAGTGTGAAGTAAGACATGAGTATGGTGTGGGATTACCTAATGACATGTGCATTAGGAGATGGTACGAGAAATTTGAACGGACGGGCAGTGTTGGAAAAGGCATTCTACTGGGTGACCTTGGAGATGCGGATCGTCAGGCAGGCTTCCGCATGGAGCCGAAGGAGTCGATTTCCAGAGCAAATGTAGAGTTACAGTTTCCACAAACGACTGTTCACAGAATTCTTCGGAAGAGCCTACACCTGAAAGCAAACAAATTAGTGGCAGTCCAGGAACTTACAGCACGTGATAAGCAGGTTAAATCGCAGTTCGCGACACTTATGCACGAACAATTTCTATTACACGATAATTTATTTAGTCGCATTGTCTTCACTAATGACGCAAAATTACACATTTCTGGACTTGTCTCTCAGCATAATTGTATCACTTTGGTGAATAACCCTTCCAGAGAATATCGGTAACATTAAAGGTATAATATTAAAGTGAAGGTATCATGCGTGCTGACGTATGAAAGAGTTATCGACCCGGTTTTCTTTGATGAGGACATAGTTACAAGCAGTTCATTCCTAGACATGTTGGAAAAACGATGTTCCTCCACAGCTCAGCAAGAGGACGGTGCACATGTTCATGTTCCTCACATTGCCAGTGGCTGTTTGAGTGCGAAGTTCCCAGGCCGATGGATAGGAAGAGGACGACCAAATGCCTGGCCTCCTCGTTCACCGCATCTCATGCCTTTGGACTTTTCGTTTGGGGCTATGTGAAAGACCAGGTGCACAGGCAAAGGGTGAGTACGTTGGATGAAAACACAGCAGCAACTGCATATGTTATAAAGGCCATGTTACAGAGCAGCTGACAAGAGGTGGACTATGTGCAGGATGTATGCAGAGCTAAAGATGGCGCTCACTGTGAAGTGTTTCGCATGTAACGACATTTCAACGTGTGTGCAAATAAAACTACTTCCACTGATGATGAAGATATTGCAAACAGCAACTCCATATCTGATTTTATTCCTTGCATAGAGGTGCAAACATCGTTTTTGGTAGATCCTGTATACTAGTCCTACTGCAGATACATACAGCGGGCGAATAAAATAATGGAAACACTAAGAAATTGAGGAATATAATTTGTTTTGTTGGCTCCACTGAGAGAACTTCAGTTAGCAATCTTGAATGTTATTACATTAATTTAAACTCTGTAGTACTTGTGTGAGTGCATTAGTGATTGTGTTGAGTGACAGTCCGTGTGAAAGAACCGGAAAATGGGAGATCTGTCCGATTTTGAAAAAGGACAGGCTTTTGGTACGAATTTAGCTGGAACATCTGTGACAAAAACTGCCACATTATTGGGCGTATCGAGAGAGACAGTTTTTAAGGTTATGCTGACATACACAGATCATTCGTAGTACGCGGGTTCAAATACCCGGCGGAGGTCGTCGAATTTTTAAGAACGGAAAATTCAGGGAACAAGTCCTCCGGGAGGGACTTTAAGCTGTGTGTCCCGTGTCGTAACTTTACGACACGTAAAAGAACCTCATATCCACAAAGGGGATCACTGAACAAAATTCCAAGACGTTTCCCGCCCAACAATAGTCTCTAAGGCCTCCGATAGACGGGGGAAGCATTATAGACACCGCTAAGCAAGTGGCCGAACTCGCTTGCTCGGCGGGACTGATGGTACGCACCATTTATCGGGAGGGTAAAGAGACTGGTAGAATATCATAGAGGGAAGCACAATAGATCAAACTGGTCGCGGTGCATGGGGAAACCCACACTCTCTAAATAACTAAAACTACACAAATCATGAGCAGACAACATCAGCGAAGTGGAACAGAGGGCGAAAATTAACATTGACGGAAAGAGATTGTCGTACATTTAGAAAGGCTGTTTCGAAAAATCACAGAACCGCTGCAGCAGAACTAAATATTGAACCCGAAGACCCTGTGCTTCACAAATCCAACATCCAGGGTGGGGCTAAAATTGCTAAATTTCCGATTATTGAAAGTAATGCTTAGATGGGCAAATGATTGTGTCACAACCATAAAACCTGGACACCAGGCAACTGGAAACGCGCGCGTGATATCGTCAAGTGAATCGCCCTTCACGATGTTCCCTTCATCAGGAAGAGTTTACGTTTGGAGAACACGCAAGGAAGCCTACAACACGGAATGCCTGGTTCCAACAATGAAACACGGGGAGGTTCTGTGATGGTTTCGGCAACAATATCGTGGTACAGCAAACTGCTGGCCCCGTTACCGCTCTCCATGGCCAAATTACTGCAGGGAAGTACGTGGAAAGGTTGGGTAATCAGGTGTAGCCTATGGTCCAGACGTTATTTCCGAACAATGCAATTTTCCAAGACGACAAAGATCCCATTGACACAGCTGGAACTGTTCAGTCATTGTTTGAAAAGCATGAAGATGAACTTCAGCATCTTCCCTGGCCAACACAATCACCAGATTTGAACATAACTGAACCATTCTGGTCAGTTTTGGAGACTAGGGTGAGGAACATGTTCCCAACTTCAACATCTCTAAAGCAAATTGAAGATGTTCTTCAAGAAGGACGATATAAAATTCCTGTAGAGACTGTTCAAAACTTATACAAGTCCATTTCAAGAAGGACTGCGGCTGTATTGAAGGCCAAATATAATCAACATCATATTAATAAACAAATACGTACAGTATCCGCAGTGTTTTCATTATTTTGTCCAACCCCTGTGTACGAGTATGACCTCCATAGCATTCGCGAATATTTATCTTGTCGAAAAGCCAAGATCTAATCTGGTCGGAATGGACAATCCTCTCGGTGACGTCTTCCATCTATGTCACTGGCCTAGCCCGAACGGTTTATGCCATAGATAACCCTGAATTTATACTAACGGTTTGCACAATGTTTCACGAATCAAACACTTCAATCAGGGTCTGCCTCAAGAGACTATAGCCCTATAAACTGATCACGCAGAGGGAGAAGAGAAACGCGCATCCCCCGCCGTTAGAAAGAGACAAGAGTTCTTACATGAATAAGGGAACAACCTAATGACTTTAGTGTGTAACGGTTTCAAACTGCAATGTTTTAGAAAAGCATATTACAATATAAGTGTTTTCAACTTGTAAGAGTTTCATGTTCCAGGTGTGTGTAGATATTGCTCTTTGCTATAAATCATGAGTTCTCACTGAGTTTATAAAAACCCACGAAGGAATGATTTAATAATGAAATTCGAGGAGACTGTGATACCGTGCACTTGGGGGCTGCATGTGTTAGCACTACATTTTAATTGCCTGAACATGCTTGCAATTATTTGCACAAACCAACAAACTTAGACAATGAAAAGGGGTTTGTATTGTGATTACTTAAAATGAAAATATCATTAATAGAGGACAATGGACTGCAGCATAATAAAATGGAACATCACAGAAAAAACAATGGAACAGAATAGAATAGAGTACGGTACGATACAATACAATACAATACACACAGTACTACAGATACTGCACATATGAGATAACTTAGGCCACTGCTGAGATAAAATTTGCTTAACCTAATTAAGAAGTTACAGATCTACTGCAAATAGAGAATACAATTCATGTAAACAGAATACAGTAAACCACTACTTTTATAATCCTAAAGACCTGAAAGACGTAGAAAAATCCGAAAATATAAGGAGAGAATCCTTGTTGTTTCTAAGCATCAGAAAGGGATTGCATTACCCAATCCTTGAGTTTGAAGTTCTCGTTTCTACAGTTTCTTCGACTGTGAATTTTCAACAAGAAATCCATAACTCAGTTGCTCATCATTCGTATCAGTGCCTCCTGTCGTTTCTTTGTCAGAAAATACAAAGGTCTAAAATTTAATCTCATATGACATTTATAAATTAACCTTTGTTCAGTTTTAAAATAAAGCAATTCATTCCAGAATAAAACCGTAATTGGACGGTCACTTAATTAGTGTCAGCTTCACGTAATGTTGGTTTAAAAGACTAAATATTATACAGCGGCCATTTAACCTTCAGATACGTGAAGTGTGTCTATATGATACTTAAAAATTCAGTTCTTTCCTAATGCAAAACCCACTGCGTCTAAATTATGAAGATTAACCATTTAATGCTGTGTAATAAAATGGGCTCCCACTCAGAGCATGGATGTTTAGTTTGTGTGTGTGCGTTTTTCTGTGTTTGTGTACAGGTAGAGGCCTTGCGACAGGCTGATCACCCGCCCAAGGGGTCCTACCGAATGTGTAAGATTTAGAAAACCCGAAGTGAACGGAGAAGTCCATGGAGGTTTCTATTTTGTAGAATATTGGACGTTGGAAAAGCTCAGTGTGAGGCTCAACTGAGGTTTCTTCTGAGGATCATACAACAAAGATAAATGCATTTTCACGCCATGCAGAGATTTTTAATGTTGAACCAAGCGGTACAAAGGTTGCCAATAGGCTTTAAAGAAATTAATATAAGACAGTTATCTCTAAAACATCAGACGGTAACTCAAATCAAATACAAATTCAAAGGAAATTATTCTAATTAATAGATCTTTTATAAAATGGGATTCAAAGCTACCTAATTCTGCAATATTATTTCGTATGAAACTAATTAAGAAACTGTACCATACTAATAGACTTGGGAGGATTCTGACGATGGTGTACGCTGTAACAGAACTATTAGGCTTATTCTGGACTCTATCCATCGTCTGGTATATAGAAGACAAAAAAACAAATGTTTCGGAGACTGGATCTATCTCCTTCCTCAAGTGGGTGGGACAGGATAAACCTACTCAGTTGGGGCCGTTAGAGAGAGCTAGTCTCAATCACTGCTGCATCCACCTAAGGATGGAGACAGATCCAGTCTCCGAAACGTTCTGTTTTTTAGTCTTATATATACCAAACGATGAATAGAGTCCAAAATATGCCTAATAGTTCTGTACCATACTGTAAGAACAGTTACATATGGGCAAAGATACTGCTCTAAGCCACCCGTTTTCACAGTTTATTTGAAGAGCGTTTAAAGGATGACTACCTCTCTGTAGCACGTCAATTCCTATATACCCAGAAGATGAAGGTAGTCAATTCCTCGACGAAACTAATAAAAACGCGTGAGTAAGCCATATTGATTCTTATTTCATCACTGCTCAAAACACTGCAAGACCAGACATGAGAGCAGCACGAACGTGAGACGACGTCGCCTCAACTGAACAGTTCTATCTTGCTACCATAATGCAATGAGCGTGAAGAGGCACTTACTGGGTACACTTTAACTGGATTCTGCAGCCGACGGTATTCTTGGTAGCTGAAGTCGTAGTTGTTGTCAGTTGTGATAGGCGTGTATTCCACGCCGTCCCGAATTTGTCGAAGACGAACTTTTCGGCCTGAAACAATAAAACTATTTCAGCAGAGGGCTCGACTTCTGTTTGATACCAAGATGTCTCCCAATATTGAGTAATATGCTAATTTCTGTTAAATTGAGAAGGTTCTACTTTCCTCTCTCCCCCCCCCCCAAATATCAAACTGGAGGGCAGACATTTTCGGTTGTCCGTGATTGCTTTTTAATAACCAGCCTTAAGAACTATTTAAGTTCCATTTCTCTATATGTGACAAAATATTCCTTTTTTTGACAGCCCATGTTGTTTTTGGTCGAAACAAATCATTCCTGTTGGTGTTTCACGCAGTTAAAATTTACATTATGCTATTTTTTAAATTATGTACCACGAAGCTGGAGGAAGTAACTGGTTCCTCCAAAACTTCGGTTACTATTCACAAGACTACATGGTGTTGTTCTTCATTTTTATCGAACACCGAGTATGTTGCACGATATGAGATGTGCAGCCCTTACGAATGTAAGCCCTTCCAGTTTATGGACAGTAAATTGTACAGTGTCAAAAGAGAGGTATCAGAATATCAACTGTGCGAAATATTACGCTCTTGTGTGATGCAACGCCGGAAGCCATCAACCAAATCACAGAGCACTGCATTTCCACAGATATAAATCCTAATATTCCTCAAAATTTGCGGAAGATTTCAGCTACTGTGTATGTTCTATACATAAGATTCATATGTCAACCGCTGTAAACTGATCCCCGGCCAGGGGCTACCATACTAACGTCATACTTCAACATACCTATGAGGTGTGTGTGTAGAGCGACTCCGAATATGTATATCCCTTGTGGAGGCACCGTCTGCTGGGTGCAAGCCGATATGCAGTGTCCCTCAGACACGACTTCCGGCTGTCCCGGGGGAATGATATGACGCCAGTTAGGATCCAGCCCTACTGACAGAACCCCGGCGTCGTGACGTCGCAGTGATGCTGTGTAGTAAACACGTATACCAGACGTGTCTGTAACATCAGCGTCTTGGGTAGGGTTATTGTAATGTGTCTCCATCATGAAGTATTTGGGCCCCAGGTCAGGGTCCAGAGGGTACCCTGCTTCCGGTGGGAAACTGAAGCCCTGGAAGGGAAGCAAATAAGCAACATTCATATGACTTGCACTTTATGTTGGGTATCAACTGTACTGTTCTAACTTGTACAGTGCGTTCAGTCAAGGAGGAAACTTCGCAACACCGCTGACCGGGCCCAACATTCCTCGCAGATTGCTGCTGTAACTGCTGATAGCAGAATGAGACATTAGCGCTGATAAATGACTCATTCTGTTATCAGCAGTTACAGCAGAAATCTGTGAGGAATGTTGGGCCCGGTCAGCGGTGTTGCGAAGTTTCCCCCTTGATTGAACGCTCTGTATAAAATTAAGATGTATACGTTCTTCGATAGCACATGTCTCGATTTTCGGACATTTTCAGATTTCAAATGACCGCGATGACATCATATACGTCTGAAAAATCATAAAATATGTAAGGTACGTAGATTAGACAAGGTAATTATATAAAATAAATCTCATTTTTATTCAGATACATAGTTCGACGTGGCCACAACTGGAGTTAAACGCATGCATGCACTACACTTGAAACACCGCTGAAACAATTTTCCGAAGAATTAACATATTTTATGACATACGACGAATCTAATATAATCTCGTACAGCAAAGGTCATCGAACTTTGCGTTCAACTGGGTAGAAATCCTGGTTGACTTTCGGTAGGCCCCGTGTTCAAATTTCGGTCCCGAGATCGACCATCCTATCTGCGAATTTTCGTGGTTTCTCCCCTTTCCTGCAGGAAAATAACGGATATTACCTTAAACACTACTACGACTTTTCTTACTTACTTACTTATTTACACATGGAGCTGAGCGCTTCTGGAGGAGCCGCCAATTCTGCAGCTACTCAAGAATTTCCCAGCATTTTCTGGAACTCGAAGGTTCATTACCGTGTTCACAAGTTCCCTCAACTTGTACCTATCCTGAGACACATCAATCCAATCCATACCATCTCATCCTATCTCTCTAAGATCCATTCTAATATTGTCCATCCACCTACGCCTTGGTCTTCCCAGTGGTCTCTTTCCTTCTGGCTTTCACACCAATATCCTATATGCATTCCTCTTCTCCCCCTTTCGTGCTACATGCCCTGCCCACCTCATCCTCCTTGACTTGATCATTCTAATTATACTTGGAGAAGAGTACAAGTTATGAAGCTCCTCATTATGCAGTTTTCTCCAACCTCCTGTCACTTCATCTCTCTTCGGTCCAAATATTCTCCTCAGCACCCTGTTCTCAAACACCCTCAGTCTATGTTCCTCCCTTAATGTCAGAGACTAAACTTCACACCCATACAGAACCACAAACAATCTTGACTTGACTTGTGGCGACAGAAATTGTCTCGTGCTCAGATTTCTGACTCCAAACTCCATAAAGGAATTTCAAGCTCCGCGACTTACTTGCATAAAGCGAGCCCAATTTATAAATAAAAATTTAAGCAGACGATAAATATAAACATGGAGACTTCTTTACATTATTTCCGAACAGGACATGGCTCTCTTTCCTGACAGCAGTACTCGGCTTGTGACTGTAACGGAGAAGCGGGGTGTCTTCTGTGAGGTACAAACTGGGTTACTAAACACTGCTTTCATGAACTTCTTCCTTGGAATGGTTAAACTATGTATAACGAACTACACTCATACTTTCTTCAGGTTCTAATAGATACTGCGCTAATCAAACAGGTCGGGCTTTAGGTAACCCGCAACTTAATCATCGTGTCCAAAAGACGACGCCATTGGCTCCTAATAGGCTACATCAGAAGAGGGACCTCATTAATGTATTGAAATTACAGTGCACAGTCAACGCTGAGAGTAAATGGTCAGAGTTCATGGCTACAGATCCAGAGGTAGCGACTCCGGTCTAGAGAACCGAAATTAACGGCCGTGTGGATTCGTTGCGCTGACCACGTGACACCCTCTATCCGCTAAAGTTGGCACTAACTTCGCCGACAAGCGGCGGTCGCTCGGTCGGTATAGCTCGCTTGCGGACTAAAGCCATGGAGTTTTTGTGTTTGTAGTATTATTATCACTGAACTCTTCCAATAAACTTGTGATACAGAGTGTAACAGAGCAAGTCATTGTAAAAGGTCATAATTCTCTGACAAAAGTAGAAGGGATGTTAGAGGCAATGTACAGAAACATAACAGATTAAATCGATATATAGGAGACCTCTTGAAAGAGTATTAGTATGCATAACGTCCTCTGCTGAAACGCGATAGTTAAATATGAGCGGCGATGAATGGACGCAAGATGAGAATGGAAATATCGCAAATGAGATTTCTTAAATTAGCGACAGCAGTCAGCATCTACGTACAAAAGATAAAACTGAACGAGAGAAGGTATTGAAAATAAACAGCACAGCGAACAACAGGCAATATGAAAAAATACGTTAAGTATATGCGGGAAAGAAAAATTCGAGTCTTCTAGGATGTGACTCCGTGTTGTTTGGAAGACAGGTACCAATAATTACGTCAAAATTTATGTCTTATCTGAAAATGGAAGGAGGTCTCTTCGAAACTTTAGTGACTGTATACCAAACAACACGGCATCACATTCGAAAAATATCAGTAATCTTAATTTATTCTATTACAATTTTATCCTGCATAACTATCAGCAAGTTTCATTAAATTATAAAACTGTAGCTATAATTCTGAGACCAATCAATTTAATTACAAACTGCAAATGACATCCCCTCTAACGATTTTCACTACTTAATGAAATTATGAATTCCTACTCAATTACGAATTCTATAAACGTACCAGATTTCGTTACACTATTACATGGAACCAAAATGATGTCTTCTGATATATGTGAGAATGCAAAAAAATTAGCATAAGTATGTGTGAAGGATGGTCACATGTAATTATATCCCCATGCATAGACAATAAATTGTCAGCCTAGATCAAGAACTCAGGACCAATTTGATTCGCCTCAAAAAGGAACTTCGTAGCCGGATCCTTGTTATGGAAGAAGAAGAATAAGAAGATATGCCGTTCCTTAAATAAATTATAAATGAACTTCAGCATTAGGAGTTATGTGTATTTGTTTCACTACGTGTGATGAAAACTTACTTTCACACTGAAAGTTATAACAACTTTGTGCATATAAAAACAAGCTGAGGGTATATAACTCAAATTTATATATTTCCCCTGAGGACATTTTTCACACATTAATCCAACGTTGACAATCCTCAACGTGTCCCCTTGATCAAAAGTCACGTTTCTTCTTTCACTGATTAAGAGCTTGACATATTACAAGCTGTCACTTACAAGACGAAGAAATTTATAAGGTTGTCTTCGACTAGGGACTGATACGTTGTGGCTCACAGAAAGAGCAGGGTGTGCATGTGAACACACACAAAAGAATTTTAATAAAAAAAATGACGTATGAGCCGTAAAGCATCCATCCCAGTCTGAAGATAGAGACATTTTTTTACAGCAATGAAACATACAGAGACAAGCATTATACAGCTGACAAGGTTGTGAGCATGATTCATGAAAGTGGTCCCATGTGACAATCAGAATATTGTCACTTAATGGGCAAGGTAATAGGCTTAGTAACGCACTCATTGGCACGATATCTCTGTTTTACATTTAAAATATATTTCTTCTATTTGGGAATAATAATGATTTATGTGGTTACTCAACCGCCAAAAGCCCAATTATAAAGGAGCATGAGCAGAAAAGAAACCAACATAAACACATTCACACAACCACAAAANGATTTGTATAAGCTTTTTGCTATTTCCTTATTAAGTAAGATATTCAGGAACGGATATGAACACCATGACAACAAGCACGCTGTGACACGCGTGCTGTACAGCTGACTCATTGCAAACAACCAATAAAACCCTAAACAAATCTTTTGGAATTGTAATGGCAAATAGCGAAGGGGCAAACATGCATGTAAGACAACTTAGAAAGACACATCTCAGGGCGCGCCATAGCTCAAGCGGTTAGTCGCTGGCTTCCCACCGCGGAGGCCCGGGTTCGATCCCGG